TCCCAGCAGACAGAGTGGTATGCGTTCGCCAACCCCTCCATTGGCGACTTTCGCAATTCATTCCGGTGGAGATGTGCGTGGATCAGCGTACCCCGCATCGAAGACGCCCAGGAGTCGAAGGAGCGGGTGGTGAGGATTATCGGGGTTGTAGGGTATGCTTCTGCAAGGGCGGTTGGGAAGAGGGAGGGGGGGAAGTCGGAGACTGCTTCGTACGGGGAGAGGAGGGCGTCCCATTGGGATTTTGACCAGGGGTTTGGGGGGTTGGAGATGGGGAGGTTGTCGGTTATGGCGGTGATCCAGAGGTCTTGGTGGGTGTTTTTGGCGACTTCGCGCATGTGGTATACGGGGGCGATTTTGAGGATTGCGAGGGCGTCAGCGAGGGCTGGGGAGTGTTAGAGGGGTTTTAGTCAACGGGGATGGTAGGGGAGAGGTACACTGTGTGCCTGTTCTGAGGAGACCCAGGACGAGGACTTTCATCTCAGACATGTTTGGCAAGTTGATCTTGTTGAGAGCGGACGAGACTACAATGATGTTGAGATGGGCGGGCACTCGTTTCGTGAATGAGCTGACCACAGCGATTTAAAGGGACTGAATACAAAACTTCATTGCGGCTTCTGAGTTTGCAATAGTTTCTGCTACCTGACCTCGATAAGAGGATCGAATGAGTCCGAGATGTTCCGCAAGGCAAGATCACGGGGCTGGCTTGGATAGGAAGCTGACTCGGAGCGGGTCGGATCGGAGATGCTCTGAGGATCCGGGGCCCGGTCAAGGTTCCACTTTTACGGGATTGCGGCCGGCGTCATTCCCGATTTTGTCCGCTGGCAGATTACGTCACTCGAAAGAAGAGCCTCTACTGCAGGAAATTTGAGAACTTCTGAGAAAAGGATGAAGTATGATCTTTGCCGAAAGAATAGGCAGTCTTGAGGGGACGGCAGGGCCACTCGATGCTGGATGCTCGACTGGGTGCAGTGAACTTTGGCCGTTGCTTGTATAGAGCCTAGCATACGGAAAGACACAAAAACATTGGAGCTCTTCGTAAAAGAAACGACCGCGTGAGGATCTAGTGTAGTAATTGTTGCCAGTGATTGAAGACGTGCGTAAATCAAGTACTTGTTTAGGTTAATTTATTTGTTGATCTTCAGTGGCCCCCCCGGAGGGGGGGGGGGGGCAGTATAAGTAGGTCCGTACGCAGTCTAAGAAGCGATAGAGCAGGCAACAAGCATTGCAAGCATCAGCAGCCTGGATGGAGCCTGCTCACCCATGGCTTTGATGGGAATAATCTCGATTGGTCAGCCTGGGTGGTGGTGTAAACAGAGATAAGCGGACAACGACTAGCCAGCTAAGCCTTTACCAGTCGCCCGTTATCGTTGTCTCGGCACCACCGCTACCAGAGTATTCAACCCCTAATATGTGCGAGAAGTAGGATAGTGCGGGTATATTGGAAAGAGCTCTTATACTGGTCGTAAAGAGCGAAAAATACAGGAACAGCATACTACTGAGTGAGTTAAAACAGGCACATCTTTTCCACACCGAGAAATTCGAGATTTCAGTCCCAACATCCCACCGTCTGGTTGCTATCTCAGAGCTCTCTGTCGCCCCCTTTTATAGTGTTAAATTCCTGCAATTGACCATGTCTTGAGAGCAAGAGATACCGATACCCAGACACCAAGTAACCAGAGGGCCATCAAATTCAATGCGAGTGACACGAAACGACTACCATAACATCAATGAAGTGCTATACTTCCACCTCAACGCCAACAGGTAGTTGAGTTCATGTGTTCAGACATGAAGGGTGGCATCCAAATTCCGATCGGAACAAGTAAAGTGATGCTGGACAGTGCAGCTCAGGTGAGCAAACACCAGTCAGTTGCGGTCTTCCACCGCAAGCCAATTCCATGTCAGTCTATCAAAGAAGCTTTAAGTTTAATTGAGATAGAAGAATTGGCATATTTTTATACTTAGGACGGCTGAGACCTCCACGGGAGTTCAGTTTATTCTACAACATTTACGTACCAATGTTACCCTGTACATCACAAAAGGGCAATATTAGGGATCTACTAATATCAGGGACCATTGATCTTCAAGTTCTTTCAAGTAGACTCTCCGAGCACGGATCTCAAACTGAGGGTTCGCCCCTCCATCAGCTAACTTTACCCCTTTCGTCATCCGCTCATCGCGATTTGCCTTTCGGTCCTGCAGGCTGCGTTCATCTTTACTCACCAACACAAACTCTACCACCGAAGTTCGCCCAATGCCGGAACACTCTGCAAAGTAAAATCCCCCAAGGGTCCATCTGGAAGAGCAGGAAGTCTTTCTCAACCGGAGTGGGCATAGTTTGGAATTTGGAGTTTGTCGATTGACGGGTTAAGTTCCCTGTGAGACAAGTTCCCTGTGAGACAGGTCCTTTCCACGCCATCGACATGGCGTTAGACTAGAGCGACTGGAAACATTCCAATATTGCATCGCCGTAGGCTCATTACCGAAGTACATCTTATATTATCAAAAAGAAGGAAAAGGCCATGTTGGTGATCTGGGGGCTTGGCTGCTTATATCTACTCATTGCTTCCATTTACCAACAGCCACGCCGATCACTCATTCCGTGGAGCAATGTACCGAGGCATACTTTGCCACTGATAAATGTGTAATAAGCCAGTTCCTTTCCAATCAGAAAGTATCGGAGAATAAGCTTATTCGATGAAGAGCGAATCGCATTCGAAATGTGTGTCGTGAGGTCAAAGCAGATGTCCTGTCACCTACCTATTTCTTCAGCCTTCTCCACAATGGAAGCCACAATGACAGTTTCATTCCACGAAAACCATCTGCCAACTACCCTAGAACTCCGCTCGTACCTCTGGAGAAGTGTTCGACTTCAAAGCGCGTGGACGTCTGATCTGGCCAGTGAAAAAACAAGCTCTAAATATCCATTCTGGGCAATACTCGGCCTAAGAAAAAAATAAAGAGGACAAGGTAATCAGCAGAACTTTCTTGATCAGGCAAGAAGATTGTGAAATGATGCAGCATGATGCAGCTCAAAAACTCCCCTGCGGAGTCAAACATTTTGGGCAAATAGGGTCCGGACTACCAAGGGTCCGGACCTTTGAGACCATGAGCTACACCGGACTGTTAGGATAGTGGTCTTTGAGACCGAGAAGGTTCTGGTGGAATCGGATGTGATGAATCCGCGGTCCAAGCCAGGCAGCCTCGGTGATTCGCCATTCTTAGCCCAGGCTCGTGAACCAGCCAACTTGGGGGCACAGCGCTCCGCTGTATCCTGTTTGAAAACATCGGACATCGAACGAGGGATGGACATCGAGTGAGAGGTACCAGCTGTCTCTCACGCGTCCCCTCCCGTTCCGGAGACCACTTGGTGGTCCACGATCACTTGGCCACTGGCATCCACAAATCCTGTTGCCATCCGACGAACTGACCTGGGGGAAGGACCAGTTGATGCCACCACCATGACAATGACAGATTCAGTCATTCATGTCCATGTCGGGATAACCCAACCTCAGCCACCCCCGTCCCAGAAACAAATTTGGTGACAGGGTTGCAGCTTCAGAGTCCTAGCCAGGCGCGGCTATGCGCCTGGCACGGACCTCTGCAGAGGAAACCTGCGGCGAAGTGACATATGGCAGACATTTGTCAACTGTGTCACTGTCTCGGATGGGGCACAGGATGCTGAGTCGAATCCGAATGCGCGGCTTTTGATTGCTTGGCACTGGCCGGGATCGTTGCCACAGTTATTGGGACATTGGGCGCTAAGACGTCGTGGAGGCTCTCATCGAGACGTGAACGCACGATGACACTCAGTGCTGCACTAGCGGCTGCCAAACAGGAGACAAAGTGTCTCTGTAAGATGCCTGTCTAGCGCTACTCCGCCTTGCTAGGCACTAGAGGCAATTGACACACATAACGCTAACATGTTATGTGCAGGCGGAACACCCCGAGGTGCTGCTGCGTGCTAGCCTTCCCGCACCAGTTACCTGAAGTTCTGCAGGAGTGAAGTCAACTCAGTCTGCGCCACTGATTAGTCTGCTGAATACTTGAACCATTAAGTAAGCTTATTGCGTTAGTTTGGAGAGAATATGCGGGCCGAGAGGTGCGACAGTGTGCAGTACGTTTGCCAAGACCGCCAGCCTGATATCGAAACCCAGGCTCTCAGTGTTACCTCGGAGCCATCATAGCTGTCGAGCAGAAACATTTGACACGACATCTTGACAAATTTAGGGGAAAGAAAGTAATGATTTGTGCCATCTGAAATGCTTCGGTAGGTATCGCAGCTTGCCGCGATCGCAGTGTGGTCTAGGCGGTGAGATTCATGAACGCACACACCATGGGAAATGAACAGCACCGCTGCCGGAGGATGAAAATAGAAGGGATCACCCTTTTCAGGTTCAGGGTCGCCATGCAGACTGAATGTAAAAGCCCACCACTTTCTGCCCGGGTCGAGAGACTGACGCTTCTAGTGGGGGTCCGTGAATCCACATTTCGTTTCGTCTGACCGTGAAAGCCGTGATCTTTGGTCGACGACCGAACCACGCTGCATGGCGTGCCGTCTGCGCGCGTTTCAAGGGTTCATCCTCGGCCGTGACTACACTCAGCCGGATGAGGCTCCCGCGGCGCCAATTGCAACAGCTTAGGCAAGTACTGGCAGATTCTGACGATGGTTACTGTGAGAGAAGTCGGTTTTGCGTACCGCAAGTCTAGGTACAGAGGATACAGGCTGATGAGCCGTATGGTATTCGATGCTTCTTGGGCTGAGACTGCAATGGCTCGGATGAAGTCTCTGTGACGGGAATGCAAAGACCAAGTTGACTCGTCGTCAATGTCCAGAAGCTGGTATATTAAGACGGTGGATTTCCAGGTCTAGGTCAGGTTTCCCTTCCATCTCATCAGCATCCAGAATTCTCAGCTTGCAACGATATTCTAACACTTTCCTAAATAACTTTCATCCTTCACGTCAATCAAATCAAGCATTCGCTTACCGAATACCAATCAAAATGCACTTCACCAACGTCTTCGTCCAGGCCCTGCTTGCCGGCTCCGCCGTTGCAGCTCCCGCTTCTCTCGCCAGCAAGCGTCAACTTCAGCCCATCCAGGCTGCCTTGACCAACGTTCAGGACTCTCTTACCGGGCTCGACACCGCTGTCAAGGTACGAGAAGATGACTAGAGCATTATTCAGTGACCGAAGCTAACCCGCTCTTGCGTAGGCTCTCAACGCCGCGGATCCCAACACCGCCGCCAACCTGCTTGATGCTTCCAACAAGGTCCAGACCTCGCTGAAGCAAGGTACCACGCAGATTCAGGGCGCCCAGGAGCTTTCCCTCACCGATGCCCTCACCCTCCAGCAGTCAGCCGGTGGCTTGACCACCGCTGTCCAGACCTCCGTTGATGACTTGGTCGCCAAGAAGCCGGAGCTTGACAAGCTTGGCGCCACCTCCATCGCCGTTGACCAGCTCAAGCAGCAGAAGGCGACTGCCGGTGACTTCAGCAGTGCCATCGTTTCCAAGGTCCCCGCGATCGGCCAGGGTATTGCTCAGCAGTCTGTTGACCAGGTTACTCAGTCTCTGGACGGTGGTATTCAGAAGCTCGGCGGTGATGCCGCCGGTGGTGCCGCCGGTGGTGCCGCGCCTGCTGCCCCCGCTGCCCCTGCCGCTCCCGCCGCCCCTGCTGGCGCACAAGAGCAATTCCACGCTGAGGTCATGGCCTAAGCAGCGGTTATTCTGAGGAGAAAGATGGTACAGGATCCAACCATGGAGATCTGATGATTATATGAAGATTTTTAGCGAGTTTCCTTTTGTGTAGTGTATTGATAGGTGAAGACAGAATGGTTAGCTGAGCTGCCGGAGCAGCTGCGCTGCATAGTCTGTTCTGTTGAAATGAACTTGAAATCTTACATTTATTTTGCCTTTGGAAATGTGATAGAGCTTGAACTCTAGCTAACAGTCATTGATAGGTTCCCTTACCTTTAATGTTGTGCCTATTCCTGCAACAAGGTGACAGTAAAGATCACCGAGACTCGCTCAAGTCCCTCAGCATTAGGCTGTGTTGCTACGATGAATTAGTGACAAAACCCATTCGTTCTCGAGAATCTCGACGCTGGGCCACGTCGAAGACAATTTCCACAAGTAACACGACTTTCATTGATGCCGTGAAGGCGGGTTTAACCGGTACCACAGTCCTCATTGAGGCCATCGTATTCCCAACCCAGCTTGCTTGACTGGGCGGAAAGCTTTCGTTGAACTGTGTACCTGCATTGAGACCATCACGGATATTCCAGTACGGTAATACGCGGCATGCTCGAGGCCAGTCTTGCAAAGCGCCTGTGTTGTCCAATGCCGCTTCGAGATAGACACCAATGTATCTGCCGGTTTCTCCAAGTCCGGAGCTCTTTTCCTTGAATACAAGAAGGCCGCGACCCTCTTCATCATATTTTCCTTGGCCAAGCATGACCATCATACTAGTATTTTCATCCAGTGTCTCAGGTGGGTCTGATGCGTAAAGACGATGGCCAAAAAGGCCACGGGGGAATGTGACGAAGCAAAAGACCCTTGCGCTCTCTCCCACCATTTGTTCGAAATGACCAAAGCCCCAGGTCGAGAGGTATTCCCGTTGCACCGGACGTAGCATGGAGATCATGATGTTCGTTGATTCTTCGGGTGTAAGATCCGAGCACCAATCACTGTGATGGGTCCCGTCTTCTTCATGCTTGGGAAGAAGGGAGTTTACCGAAGACAGACTCAGTGATATCCATGGAGCAGGAAGCGATACTCGAAGGTACTGGCGCCGGTAACGGCTGACGTGAGATGATAAAGGTAGGCAAATACAGTTGTCGATAGACCCCTGAAGCGTTCTGCAGTTCAAAACGCCCAGAACCAACATGGATGACAAGGTCTGGATTAATGGCAAGGATATCGAAAGACCAGCGTGAGTCATCGTATGCAATTGTGGCATCGTGTCCATCGGAGTTATCAGACGGGGCCTGCGGCCGACGTCCAGAGAATCAGCGAAGAGCGCAGGTGAATTGGCCAAGGGTGCCGTCATAGACAGGGTGGGTATGTCGTAGACGAAGATGCTCTGGTCATCAGAGACCCTGATTATCTCCTCTTGAAGCCTCAGGAAAGCCTTGCCGCCCTCTCCGTAGAGAAGCGGCATGTTGACACCGAAGAGACCGAGGAGACAGTACGCTTGATCTTCGAAGCGAGTTGTAACACGGCTAGCGGCCCAAGACATGATTGCGGCAACACTGAAGTCGGAAGGGGATGCATGGCCTAAGAGACATTCTTTATTAATTCCGGTTGCTCGATGTATTACGTCAAGCAAACTTCGTTTTGTTCCAAGAAGTGTCCAATCCTGAGTGTAAAAGTTGATGCGGCGGGGGGCAATAAGCTCCTGCAAAGTCCAGCCACGAGTAAACCATTTGCTGTTTAGAAACTGGATCTTCAGGTCGCGCTGATCAATGGTCTTGCTTGAGATTGATACGTCGGCCATATAAACGTAACAAAACGCTGCTTCTCGGTACCAGGCAAACATAGAGTTGATAGCTTCCGATAACTCGGCGGAGCTGCGCTTGTCGATGCAGTTGGTGTCTACCCAAGCATGGGTGTATCCGTTCTGCGAGGCTAGCTGGCAGAACGATTCGATCTTGAGAAAGCCCTTCTTTTCTTTCCTAGTCTCAAGGTGGTCCCATTCTTGGAACGATACTTCTCCGTCCTCCCAGGTGTGGGAAAGAATGGCATACGGTGGGGTGCGAGCACGGTCAAAAAAACTCCTCGAGCTCCAATGTCGCCGTGTTGATCAGATGCATGATGAGCTAGATTGGGAGCACTCATAAGAGCAGCTCACATCTAGATAACGAGAAGGCCACCATGAAATCCACGGTGAGAAGGTGAGGTGTCAGAAGTGAGGTGTGTTTGGGATGAGGGGTATCCCCGGCATCCATCAGTTGGGAGAGCCTGATCACTTGGAAGCTATGGTGAGATGACTAAGCGGCAAGACCATGTTTATCTTATCTTTTGGAAAGTCCTTAATACCTTCTGTTTGGGCAGTGCTTTCATCGCATTATGCCAATTGTACTCGAAGGAAGCATCAGCCAACGTCCCTTTCCGCGTGTTGACGGCCACCTCCGCTGCGAATCGGGCAAGGTCCCAAGATTGACCGTCCAGAGCCGGTACGACCGACCTGATCGTGTCTGAAATGCTCTCACGTGCCTAAGTTGGACGAACATGGAAGCTTCTCAGTTTTGCCACAGGATTCATTCTGACATCATCCCTGAATCCCCGGCGGAGCCTCTGCTCCTAGGCCCCCCGAATGTCACCACCCGACATCTCTCGTCCAGCAAATGAAGCCTTAGATCCTTCTATCTACCTTTGTCAGTTGTGGATCCTCGTCAGTTAGCCTGTACGATCAGTATGACTTTCCGTTGGAAGTCCCGGAAAGTCATGATCGTCTCCCTCTGAGGTCTTGGCGACGTGATGTCTTGCTACCTGTTTTGATTTACTGCTTGACTATCCTCATGGAATCTATGATGGCCAGCTTTTCTTCGCAAAATCTTTCTTCACAGGCGTTGTATCCTGTTTCCGTTCAGTAGATATCTACGATCTCCCTGGCTTCTGACAGTGATGGACGAGAAAGCAGCTCCTGGGGCCGACAGCCCCCCTGGTCCGAGGCATCCGCGCGCCCGTGATGCCAACGTTGAAAATCGCCATGCTCATCAGTATGACCCTACCGCATTTGGTCGTCATAGTCTACAGATCAGTCAGGCTTCACAGCCTGCTTCGGAGTTTCAGCCTGAAGGTCAACGACAGTATGGGATCGTTCCTAGCACAAGAGATGGAGACGTGCTCGATGAGAAGAGGTCACAACCACAGAGTCCGCCAGACATCGACACATCCCGCCGCCCGGCCTCAGCACCACACCACCAACCATCATCCCCACGATCTCCAAAGAAACACACCACCAGACCAAGCCATGACTTTGACCGTCGCTACGACGGCCCCTTCAGCCGGCCAAGTCTCGCCATGACCCGGCGAAGCTCGCTCTCACCCACGCGACCGTCAACGGACCCAAACACACCCCACACCAGCGAAGCCCGCGGCACGGCCGGTGACCCTCCCCGAACCCTCCCGGCCTTCCATCCAACTCCCCCACCACTAAACTACACCCTCCGCACCCGAAAGACAGCAATCGCTTTGTTCTGGACCCTCATACTCATCGACTCCATCGCCATGCCGATAGCCCTTTACTTTGGCCTCTGGTACGGCGTCGGCCCAGGGACGAACACCCCCGTGGAAAAGAAGGAGAAACTCTCCCCCAACGCCGTCTTTTCCATTGTCACCGCGGCCGTGGGTGGCGCCAGCATTGTAGAGTACTTTGTGCGTTTCTGGCGACTTTGGCGCAAGAGGAGCAAGTGTCGTGTCATCGGGGCGCATAGGTGGTACCTCGACTGGTTTCATTGGAACTTTTCGTTTGCGTGGATAATCATCATGATTGAACTCATCGTGTAAGTGTCCACCCCCCTCGCATCAATCTCATAGTTACCTCAAGTCACACATTATTGACACCATCCAAGAGGCACCGTCCCAAGAAACCCCCCAATCCGCCTCCTCTCCATGCCCGTCCCAACAATGCTCCTCGTCTTCGGCACCCAACTCCTCCTAATCGACGCCCTACGCGCCCTCCACATCCCCTCCCCTCTCCGCATCTCCTCTGTGCCCCGCAGAGCCCAGCTCCGACCAGGCATCTACTCCCTCATCGAAGACGTCTGCGCAGTCGACGGGTCCGGCGGCACGGACTTCCGCGTCGCGCTGGATAGGCGGTACGAGGCGAGCCACGTCTTTCGCGCGATGCTGAGGCGGTTGGGTGTGTTTTGGGCTGTTGGCGCTGAGGGCTGTGCTGTGCTTTGTACGGCGCTGATTTTCGGTTTGAGGAGCGGGGAGGCGGCGTATGTTGTTGGGTGGTCGGTGCCGTTCGTGTGGGCTGGTGTCTGGACGGTCGCGACGTTTTGGTATGTGAAGAGAGAGTTGAGGCGAGAGGCTGAGGCTTGGAGTGAGGAGGTCGCGAGGAAGGGGGTGGCAGCGTCCATGTCCATGGCGTCGGTTTGAAAGGACTGAGGTTCACGTAGACATGTAATGAGGTACCACAAATCACGTACACGAAGAGTGACAAATTACAGATGCTTGGAGATTTATCTTGATATTTTTGCTCTCGTCCATGTCTATGCTTCCATGGGGACCTTCCCTCATCAACCCAAAACGCCTCGTTCACGGCCAAAGTCCTCTGAGACGCCGTTTTCTTCCCCTCCCAGCAATACATACATGCAAAGGTCTATTCCTCGAGACCATCTCGAAAGAGAACCATATAATACAGAAAAGGAAAGCAATCGTCCAATTACACAAGGTGCCGCCCTTCTACACACAGCCTACCGCTTCCGCGTGTCGCGACCCTTCTTTTTACTCTTCTTCTTGTCCTTGGGCAGGTCTAGCGCCGTGCCCTTGAGCTGCTCCGCCATCGTCCGGAGCATGTACTCGTCCACATTATATATTCTCTCGCCCCACGCGTTATGTTCAATTTCTACCGCTTCATCCGGTGCGACGGACTCTGAGAACCGACCTAGCCCAGAGGGTCCCGGGCCGCCGCCTGACTGACCGGCGACATCCTCCCGCGGCGTGCCTTGGCGGGTGCTAGAGGCGCCAGAAGGTGCGCCGCTCTTTTCGTTGAACTCTGCGTCGTCGTCCTGAATCTCCTTCTCGGCGGCCTTGGCGGCTTCTACGTCTTCCTGGTCTTCGGCCTGCTTAAGGTCCTCGGCCACGGTTCTCGACGCTCCGCTGTCTCCTCCACCCAAAAGGCGGTCCATGGCGGCATTAGCGGCATCATCGACCAGGTCTGTTCCCTCAGTGCCGAGAACGTCCCGCACGGAAAGTTTGTTGAAGTAGTCCGTGGTGAAGCTACCCTCCTGAATGACCACGTCGTCCAGCATCTGCTTCTGCGACGCTTTACGAAGAATGTTGGCTTCAATTGTGTGCTCGCTGACGAGTCGGTAGATGTGAACATCTCGTGTCTGACCGATACGATGGCATCGATCCTGGCACTGCTTGTCCATGGCTGGGTTCCAGTCTTGGTCGTAAAAGATGACGGTATCGGCCCCAGTAAGGTTGATGCCCAATCCACCGGAACGTGTAGACAAGATGAAGCACAGGATGCGTGGGTCATGGTTGAACCTGTCCGTAAGGATTTGCCGCTGCTCAATCTTTGTTTGTCCATCAAGTCGAAGGTACTTGTGGCCGTGGATATTGAGGAACTGCTCGAGAATATCCAGAACCTTGGTCATCTGTGTGAAGATCAAGGCACGATGGCCGCCGGCTTGAAGCTTGCGAAGAAGTTTGTCCAAGGCTTGAAGCTTTCCACAGTCGTATTGAAGCAGACGCTTGTCTGGGAACTGGATGCTGTGACGCATGCGAGACTCGTGCCATGGGTCAATGGGTGGCTGCTTGGGCATGAAAGGAGCCCACCGGACAGGCGCTGAGAGCTTGAGATCCTCGTCCGTAAAGGCCTGAGCCGCCTTTCTTCCCAGTATCACCTCGTTCATGTCGCGAGTGATGACGGCGGGAGTGACGCATGTGAACTTTTGAATGATCGTCTGCATCGCATCGGCTCGTTCGTCAGCTGGATGGATGACGGCACGGAGGAAGTCAGAATCCTCCGCAAACCAATTCAAGATCTGGTTAGGAACTCTTGGCTTGGGTTTCCGGGGTCTGCCGTCTAACCCGAGCGTCAGGAAATCAATCAGGCGCTTGCCATAGATGGGCCGACGTTGGCCGCGGAGAGCGTTCAGGTACACGCTATGCTGCAATTCCTCGAAGCGGCGCCAGCGAGCCAGGCTGTCCAGATACATAATGTTCGACTCAACTGTTGAAGGGTCGAGGTTTGTACGAGCCAGATGAGCTCTGGTATTCTGTGCCTCTCTCAGTTCCATCAGTACCCTGTGGAGGCTGAGCTGCGAAATACGCTCCGCCGTTGTGTTGGACATATTCTCGTGTTGTGTAGGAATCATGTTGAGAACGCCCAGGCTAACAATGGACATAGGCTCTACTGCAAGTAAAGATCGGTGTAGGAACTGATCGGTAACCTGAAATTCTGCTGGAACGGATTTCTGCATCCTAAAGGACGTCATGATGGGGCGGTCCACGAAAAGGTCGGGATGGTTGCAGACTTTCCGCAACTGCATCAGACAATTGATGATGGAAAGGTAGTTGCCAGAGGACAGCGTCTCCCGGGTGTCTGTGCGAGCCAAGAAGCCATCATACAACTCGCGCTGACGTTTCGACAGGCGACAGAACTCTACGTGTTCGTACTTGGCCGGCATTTGCTTTTCGACGTCGGCCTTGAGTCTTCGTAGTAGATACGGTCGCAAGACCTTGTGTAATTTGGAAATGATCGCTCGCGCTTCCTCGTCCATCGTCTCGCGGCCGTTTTCCAGGATTTGAGACTCTGGCTTGTGGAACCAATCGTGAAACTCTTGCAAGTCTGCGAATCCACCCACGCCATTTTCGGCTGGCATGAGGAAGAACAGCAACGACCACAACTCGGTGAGATTGTTTTGGAGCGGGGTGCCTGTAAGTAGAAGCCTTGCCCGAGTATTGAAACCGAGGAGCGTCTGCCACCGCTGTGATTTGAAGTTCTTGATGTTGTGGGCCTCGTCGAGAATCATGTAGTGCCACCTCCGACGTTTGAAGACCTGCTGGTCCTGGATGACAAGCTGGTAAGATGTTATGCAGACGTTCCATACGTCATCATTGTTCCATCCCT